CATCCCTGGAGGTGTTCAAGGCCAGGCTGGATGTGGCCTTGGGCAACCTGGTCTAGTGGGAGGGGTCCCTGCCCATGGCAGGGGGGTTGGAACTTGATGGTCTTCGAGGTTCTTCCCAACCTAAATCATTCTATGATTCTATGTATTAGTACAATATGTATCATGTTTCAAAAGGTCTGGTTTGGGAGAAGGAGCATGTCTTCCAAATGACAAAAAAACAATCAAAATAAGCAAACAGCATTTGTTCCAGGAATCAAGAGAAGCATCCTCAAAGGTGTAAGTGAGAGCACTATGAATTGGAAAGGATTTGTAAGAATAAATAAAAGGTAGAAAGAGAACAGGAAGAGTCAACATCTAAGGAAGGGTAAATTGCTAAAGATGCTTCTTTAAACGTTCTTTAGCTATGCATTAATTACTAACTTTGACTGTTTTAACTAGAATCACTGTTGACTACAAATGAAACAGATAAATCCTTACCCTCAACAGCCAATGATACAATGCCTTGTGTGTCTTCAACTCCGTACATAACATCACAGCGATACACCCCTGCATCACTTGCACGCAGCTTAGAGAAAGTCAGCGAAGCGTCACCGGTCTCCTCTGAATGGGTCGGAACAGACACTCTGTCTTTGTAGCTTTGACCTATTTTGATGTTGCCGTTTTGGGCCACCAGGACTGTGGTTTCCTTTGCATCTTTTCCACTTTTATCCAGTTCAACTTTTGACCATTTGATTCGAAGATATTCAGCTGCATAGCTGGAGGCTATAGTGGGTGTGGTTGAAAAGAAGCATGGCAGGACTGAAGTTCCAGAAAGGGATCCCTTTACCAGGGTTTTTTTTTCTGCTTTCACTAGAAAAGGGAGAGAGACAGGGAGAGAAAGGAGAAATTACGTTAGTGACACAGCAAAATCAGAAACAGATACCTTTCATTGTTATTTAACGATTCACAGACGTGCAATACCTGAAATCCACAAACCTTAGCTGATTTGTAACAGGACTCATTAATATAAGCTAAAAAAGAGTTTGCATTGATATCCCATGCTGCTGATGGAGCCATTTTCTGTTTTGGCAAATTTAATTCACTGCTTTCTGACTTATTTTCTCCATTTGTTAGTCACCAAGTTATTGACCTTCTTTAGAAACTGTTTTGAAGTTTAGCTGACTGATGACCTGTAAGAGCTACGGTTTTTTACTTCATAGGAGGAAGACCACTCTTAGTGAAAGATGGCGAGTTACCTCACGTTTATTATTATCCGAAAGGACGCATACAGTGGAGCTACTGATGTTTACACCTTGCCTTACCCCGCAGTAGCTTGTTTGTTTGCTCCTGTCCTAAGTGTAACACATAGCCCATGACTTCGCATACATGACATCCCTTACTCCAATATCCTTTAAGGGTTAACTCTTTTTATTGCATATGTGCTGAAACAAAAGCCTTTCCAGTGAGATTCTCACAAATGGTCATTCTTTTAAAATTATTTCCCTGTAGCCTCAGGGACTTTAACACATTGCAGTAATAAAGTATTTCAGGATGTTCAAGCTAAGAAGGAAGTAAAGCGCACAGAAAGTCCCTACTTGGCTCAAACTTGATGTGATAGGACCTTTATCATTTTTTATGACATATCCAGCTGCAAACACTTTACAGTGAAATGCTTCCATCTGACAATATCCTGAGGGGAAAGTTGACTACTGTTCATCCAACTTGCACACAGAAACTATCTGAAGAGAGGATTTCTGTTAGATTTATTTTTTTTATGTGATGCTGTTTCACCATAAATAATGTCTTAATGAAGATAAAAAGCTGATGCACAACAGTATCTATCTTACCTCTTTCACTGTCCTGCACTCTAACATTTTTTGAAAGGTGGAACATGTCAATGATTAATTTGAAGTGAACTAGGATTCATAAAGTTTAGATATACAATAACTTCAAATACTAGCTACCAAGGCAGTGATACACAAAATAGGAGACCCCAGCACATGAAAATTATCTAGCTATCTATCTATCATCAAAAATATCATCTCTCCATAAAGAGTAGAAAATTGGGAGGGGGGTGAGGGGAAAAAAAAAAAAGAAGACCAAAAAAAAGGAAAAACTGCTCGTTAAGTTGATTATTTTTAACAGTGACAGCTGACTTTATATGGGATAAAGTATTAATAGCATTATCTAGAAAGATTCAACACAAGTATCATCACTTGATGGCCAAGCATTTTACTGCAAAAACAGTCAAAAAAAAAAATGGACTGAACAAGGAAGACACAGAATTTTGAATGGAAGTCCTCAAGTCTTTTCCATCCATGCCTACCTAACTAGAATTCTTGGGAGCACAATGCAGATACACTGAAAACGATGGTATCAAAACTGATTGGACCAGAAAGAGTATAACAACAATGGGATAGCGCTGTGCCAAAAGAGCTGCATTGCACCCAAAGCTCAGCTGAAGGGCACTGTCTGAGCACATTTACCAGCAAGACATTCACTCTGTGATTCAGGCATGTGGTGAGACTTTCATTCTTCTATTAACTCATAAACAGAGACTGGTGATGGTACAACACACATTTAATAGTCAAACAAACTCATCACTTCATACACTTTGGGCCCAGACCTAGCAAGAACCTATTTGTAAAACAGGGAAAGACAAAACCAGGTCCAATATAAAACTGAAGACTGGAGAATTCACAAGGCTTGAAGACAAACCTGTAGAAGTTACTGAAGACTAAAGACTAGCTCAAAAACTTTGATTGCATACAAATTTCTTTAAGAAAAAAATAAATCTGTTGAGTTGTGGGTTTTTTTAAATTTCCATACAGAAATAAAAACTCAACTCACCATTAGTCAATTGATTGCTATAAAACCAGAAAGTACTGATTTTATCCTGAAGATGTATAGTATGGAAACACCAGTGCCTTTTATATCACCTTTAATTTCTCGAAACTTTGCTGAGTTACAGTAGGGTAGAGATAAAGAAACAGAATGAATACTCAGTCCTAGCAGTTGTGATGCAATTACTGCCAAATTGCACAGGTGGGAGATTAAAATCAGTCTCAAAATATTTAGTATTTAGTATTTATTATGATCTCTTGTCATCTATATACATTACAGGAACTTCTTAAATGAAAAATGACCTGGTTATAATTACCCTGACTGACAGAATTTTAATAAACTTTTGAGAACATTGTTTCTGGTTATGAGTGATCTGGAATATCAGCACTGAACCCTGAGGAGATTTCGTCTCTTTAAAATTTCTGTCTTCAAATCAGCAGACTGAAACCCTTGGCAAACAACTCATATCATCATGATATGCAAACCAGATCTATCCTAAATTGGGCTACACCCCAGAAAGGGAGACCATGTAGCTACAAACATGCCTGTCTAACTGTAGAAAGCATTATAAAACATTATATAAAAGCCCTCTTTGTTTTGATGAGAAGAGGGGAGAAGAGGAGGGGAGAAGCTTTTCCCCACTGAAAATAATAAAAAAAATAATAATAATATTTGGCACTGTAACATCAGATTAAGTGATGTTCCTGTACTGTTCCAAAAAGCTTAATTTCTTGCAGCAGTCCAGGTTAGTTAGTCAAGCAGAATTTACTGGCCAATGTAGAAAGCATCGATATCTTATATTAATCCATATAGCCTTTTTGTTCCTTTAGTATTTTCCTTATGGTTATACTTCATGTTATGTCTCCTTTTCAGCCACTATCAATGGTATGTGATACAGACTACCCCTTAGTAGGAACATGGCAAGCAAAAATATGAACAAAACATTTTGTAACTGTTTGTAAATTTGAACACAAGGTGAGAAAAGCAGGTATTTGCCAATTCACTAGTCAGGAGACTCCCTAGTGCCAAATATTGCTTTACACCAAAGCTCCACCCTGCCGTGTAGGACCAAGAATACTTGTTACATCATGTAATCTTAAACAAGAAGATAATTTTGAAATTACTAATCTGGATGGCGATTAATATAAGCATTTTTTTCTGTTGCTAACTAATATGTATCACTCAAGCATAATTACTTCATTAGGAAAAATACATAGACAATAAAGAAACAAAACACACAACGAAGTCCAAATCACCTCTCCACAAACACTTATCTTGGCAGAAATCCCAGCAAAGTCAATGGGAGCCTTGTACAAAACGATGGGACTACAGAGTTGGGCCGAGAGCAGCATGTTGCAGTCAGATTACGGGCATATTCAGTAGGTATCATGCCTTAGCAGTTGGATATTTTTGTTGTCTTCCGCTGTTTAAATATTCGATATCTCCGGCATCAGAATAGGTAGCAGGAACAGAATGCAGAATGAAAACTTCTCTCATGAGATGTCCTTGCCAGTCTAACTTACTGGGTAGGATTTTGCAATGACTTATTACTGTCTTATTTTCTCCAAACCTAAAGCTATGGCTATGCATTTTTATCAGTTTATCACGGGAATTATACCCTTTCTTTAAAAAAAGAAAAATAAAAATTCCAGCTTGCCTTTTCATGTTGGTTTGTTTTTTTTTTTTTTCCCTAGCAAAACTGCCTTAGATCCTCCCAGTCTACAATTTTGGCTTTAAAGTCAGTTTACCTTACCAATGATGTACAGCTTGATACCTTTCTTTTCCAATGGGAGACAAACTACAGAAGAACTCCTTTCTTGAGTTTCTTTC